ATCGCGGCACAAGAATATATCCGTGAGAACCATGATCCACTAATTTACAAACTGCATGATGCAAAAAATAAAAACCATCCAAGTTACTCCGGTGAGATTTTATTTTTAAATTTTTTAAAGAGCTTTAAAATAACGTAAATAAATAAATTGACCTTTCGACAAAAGTACCCCCCCGCACCTAAAAAAAATAGACCACTTTGCTAAGGAACTAAAAGAACGACACATATGAGCATACACCTTAGACTTTCCTTTAAATAACCCATCAAAACAAATAGACATTTCTCATGATCTGCAGGTACACGACTCACCTTATTTGAAATTAAATAAAAAACAAAATTTCACAATTGATGAACTCTGTCAAACTGAAAGAAATGATTGATGACAAAAAGAACAACAACCTGCTGGATGGAAGTCCATATTAACCAATTTCACATTTGGTGTAATTGCATGATGCCAAAGTAAAAAAAAAAAAAAATAACTCGCATAACCTAAACCCAACAAAGGGATCAAAACTTGACTTCCAATATTCTCTCCCCCCACTGAGTAGATAATACTACAGAACTCCAAAGATTATGTACTACCGAAGGTTGCACAAGAAAAATGTACTTCATAGACTATCCCTGAAAATTGAAATGACCATAACCAGAAGGCTTATAAAAAGACAAAGCACTCCTCTGGGAAGAGTCATACATCGGTAACCGAGAGAGAAGAACCCCCAATCTATCAGAAATGGCAGAATTGAGAATCTCCAAATGAGGAAATATTAACAGAAACTTTAACTTCTTTACACAAATCAACAATGGCCTCCTTCTGTTAAAACCATGGAACCACCTCATATAATAAATCCCGAACTCGTACAATCCCAGCATCTACAAACTCCTGAAAATAAATCAGACGTCGCTAATTATCAGTCAATAATGGATTATGAAACAAAGACTGATTAAACATCTCCAGTAAATCAGAAGCAGGATCCATTACAGACCCACCAGTAGAAAGAATTCAACCCTGAAATATTTCTTGAATAAATGGATTTAAGGACCATAAAAACTGAGGCATAATTCGACCCCTTAACACCAACCGCCCCAGACTCGCACCTCAACACCAGCCCCCAGACTCGCATACGTACCAAGAAAATAATCTATTAATAAACGCAAAACTTCATGGCAATCCCGAGTAACACAAAATAATTTCAAAAGAAAAGTATTCTTACGCAAATCACTTAACTTAATAACTCCCCTCCGACCAATGGCGTATCAAGTTATCATATTGAAGTTTATGAATACCTTTATGAATAAAGGTCAAATATCCCTAAGGAAACTGTCACGTCAACTATCCAACAAAGG